GCCGCTTGGTGCCGCTGTTAGTTCTAGTGGTAACGAGTCTTGGTCTCGTCACATAGAAGTTGGTGCAAAGGAAGAACAAGGATTTCATCCAAGGTGCCTCCTTTGGGTTGAAATTCAAGCTTCTCCTTAAACAATTCAGAGGTGATTTTTTCCCCAAGTTAAGATATGGCAGCTAGACATGCCCAAGTCATTACCATAGTGGCAAGGAGATTATGGCAATTGCAGGGCTAGTGACTGGACAGGAATCACCCCACCCCCTCTGTTGAGAAAATTCCATTCAAGGTTGAATGATATTTCATTTTGTCTTGGAAGAAGAAGTTTAGGTGGAGATCCGTGTAGCTGAGGATTTTTGTGATGGAAAAGGAGTGATCAAAGGCAAGAAGCTACTTTAAAGGGGACAGTTAGGGGTGAGTGGGTGACAGAAAGGGAAGGGAAGGGGTAAGTGTCTACAGGGGTAATCCCAGGATGGTGGATGGGGAAAGGAGGATGAGATCAAAACAGAGAAATGCTGAGGATAAAATAATTTTTTTTTTGGCTCTTTATACATTTTCAACCATGAACTGCGCTAACCCCAGTTAATGCGTCTGGTTGGATTCGAGTGCTTTAGGCTTTTGTGTGTCTACGTGGTGAGAAACATAGATATGAGAGTATAGATCTGTCATGAGAAACCTTTCTAGTAAATCTCTATTGCATATCTACCATCTGCTAAGTTAATCAAATCATCTCTGTTGCATGTCTACAAAAAACCGTGCTTACTCATGAAAAAGTCTATCCTATGTTTTCTGTCTCATTCTTGTTTATTTCAATTGGTTCAGGTCCCGTCTGACGTATCTGCGCAGGATAACCAGACTGAAGACCAGGTAATTCCACAAATTTCGGAATTATTTATGGAGATTTTAACAAGGAAAACTTTCTTAAAATGCTTATATTCCCCGAATGTTCTTCCATAAAATCAATCACCTGAAATATCCACTTTAACTGGAAGGAATTAGTCTGCTTCAAGAATTTATGGATATGCTTTCATGTTTCTTTGGCGATTCGGCCTCCCAATAGAGTTTGACAAAAGATGCCTGTATTAATTTTTCGATTTTGAAATGTTCATATGGCTGGGCAAAAGTAATTTCTGCTACTTCAACTAATTCATAGTTTCATACATATTTTTCTCCAGGAAGAAGGTACTGGAACCGACTCTGCCCCATCATCTTCAAAAATGATCAGCTTTGAACTTTCCAATGGTGACCCGTTTGGTCCCAATGTTCCTGCATCAATAGATGATGATGACTATGTGGAATACTCACTTGATAGTTTGGCAGATTTTCCTAGTAATGTCGAGGAAGAAGAAAGGGTAAGTACGTTGAGGTTTACAGGATTTAGTCGCTTAATTGTAGGCTTCAGTATTCTTTCTGTTCTTTCACTATTTGATCTTTTGTGCGTTGACAAAATATCAGATATTAATGAAAGCAGTACTCGAGTCTTTAAAAGACTTGGAGGTAAAACCTCCCCCTGCCGAGCAAGTGTCCTCAAAAGTTGTCGAAGAACTTCCTCAACCTTTGCAGGACAGTAAAGAGGAGTCAGCTTCTACAAAGCAATGTACTCCATCGAAAGAAATTAGTGCTAGTGCCATATTTTCTAATGGACATGATTCAGACGCCAAAGTCCAAATTCAAGATACTGATAAAGTATCAGCAACTCCAGCTAACAGTACTTTATTGGCAAAAGAAGTGAAAAGCAATGGGGCGTCTTCTCATCGTGACACGTCCATCAGCAATCAAAGTTCGTTCAATGTTGACGTGGTTGATGGTACTAAAGCCACTGTGACCGTTGTAAAGAACCCAACAAGTAATATCATGGATGGTTTGTTGCGTCGTTGGGATCTCAACTTCTTCAAGAACAGATAATGGTTAGAGGATTGACTTTTTTACAAAGAAAACACTTGGAATGGATTACGCGTAGCAGAAAAAGTTATAGCGGTTATAGAAATTTGCTGTTTGCTGGATGTACATTTTTGGGGGGAGTAAATATTTGTACTTTCTGTCGGGGGCTGGTAAGTTGTGGCAGGTGGTTGTGGGAAATGGGNAATTTTTTCATGACAATCTTGCAATTGTTAGCACTCAAATTTCTCTATTTTATTCAGTTTTATAGTGTTTGTGTATTGTATACAAATGGAACACATCTCATATTTTCAACATGGAAACATGCTTTTACTTTTTAGAACTCTGAAAATCTGTCAGTGTCGATGCTATTTATTTGAAGTATTCTCTTTTGGGATCTTTACAAATAGGCAACTGGATTTACGATTTACTTTTTCCTAGCGGTATACATAGGTACACTGATCGTACACGGTTATTGTTATGAATCAAAATGACCAAAAGACTAAGGCTGAGGACACATTTGGGAACTTAGCAAATTACATTTGGTACCCAGGTTAGATGGAGCATTTGGTATGAACTTGGTTTATTTTATTTTAGTTAGTTTCTTAGAGGATAGATCTGGAACCTCCCTCCCTTCTCCCTTTTTCATTTCTTCTTCCTATGGAAGATTTGGTTACTTGTTTTAAGCATTTGTTACTTGTTTTAAGCATTTGTAATTATTTGAAGATGAACTCTTATATTTGTGTATGTGGTTCCCATAATCCATTTTAATATAATACGGGTTCACTACATTGGTGCTCTCGTTGCTCGTACTCCATGCCTTTGGACTCTCATGCCATGATCTATACTTCCATCAATACCATACAGGATTTAGTGAAGGAGATGCAAGAGAACAACACTCATATGATCTCTTCTATTTGCCGTATGCAGTCAGTGATGCACGAAATGCAATTAGACTCCACGGAATTCGTTGATGCTCCAGAAATTTCAGATGCTACAGCTATCACCTCTGCACTAGACTCAGTTTGATACAAACACCAAGGTGGCCAATATCGTGAAATCACATCTCGATTCACAACTTCCTGTTCTTGCTGTCGGAGATACAATACCCAAAACAATGTTCCCGACGGTGTGTTCTATGCTTATATTTCCGTACCGTAGCTTCAATCTTCACCTCTATCATTCTCAGTTAAGCGACCGAGTCTTCCACTTAAAGCCTGCGGACAGGAGCTTGACATGGAGTTTGGCTGCAAGGTTTTTTGACATATTGCCGAAGAGGGATATATTTGCACATTTTCATGGTAATAATAGAGCTATTAGTTCGCTTCCATATGATTTTGGCTTTCACGACTGCAAGTGGGTAGATACTGGGCAAGTAAGGGTTTCAGATGATGCAAAAACAGAGGAGACCACTCTGAAAGATACAACGGACAGTGCTGCGATAGACTGTACCAGCGACAATCGTTCTGATTTGATTGTCGAAAACTCACTCTTGTTGGACAATTCTGAGGCACCTTCTGAGATGTTACAAAATCCCATAGCAGATTCATTACCGGGATATTCTGCAATTCTTAGACACCAGCTGTTCGACACAATGCCCAATAGACACTGCTACTCCAAGTCTTGCGAAGTTGTTTGTGCTGTGCTTAGCATTGATTACTCTGACCGATACAATGTTGATTTGTCATTCCAGCTTAAGAAACTCACTATCTATTACATCGACATTCGGGGTGTTGCAGAGGTACAAGATGAACTAAAGGAAATTGTTCACTATCTACATGATCCCAAGCGTTGCACTCGCCTTAATGGTCTGTTTGCAAATACAGTATTGTTTACTTGTTTCCTTGAAACTGGTAACACTATATTGGCTAGAACACTAGCTGGAGTTGTGACTATGCGTATGCTACTTAATTTTCCATTTGATTTCGATTCAGATGATGGACACTCACACAACATCACCAAAATGTTCGATAATAGTTTTCAATCGGATCTCCCATTAATTGGATGCCCTACGAGTGAAAGTAAATTGATTGGTTGGTTCTACCTTGCAAAGAGGTTGGCAGCTGGTGAGTGGGTCACAGTTAGAGTTCCTGCTTGTGGACTCTTTCATATTGCTTACTCCAATGCCTCAGATATGTTGACGGTAGACCTCCTATCTACTTACAGTCAAATGCGTCAAGAGGACATGCCCATGGTGCGAAGGTTGGTTGCGACACACTTGGAGAAGTTTGTTGCTACTGTTGCACCTACTTACCTCAAGATTGACATCATGTCAATGTTTGATTATCTTACACATGGTGCTAAGATTCTTGTACGTGTAGTAGCCCCGACATTCTATCTACCAGGCTGCTATTAGCCTTTGGAGCGAAACCTTATTCTAGAATTTATGAGAGGACTTCAGGCTCACTAAAAGACCAATTGGAAGCTATCACACCAGCACTTGAAAAAGTTTCAGATGCTCCGGGTTCCATTAAAAATCATGAGTTCTTGGAGTATTTAAAGAAGTTCCTGGACTGGAGTGTGCAAAGTGAAGCTGTTAGCAATACTGATAGCTTGATTGGCTGTAGTGTAAATGACCTCGTACTAGCTTTATCAACATATGGCATTCAAGTCGGAAATGGAAAGCAACAAAAGAGGGGAGAGCCTTCTGTGGAGATTAGCGAAGAAGACTGTGTGGACAAGGTT